GTTATATCTGCAAACTTCTTAAATATGCCCCAACCTTAAAGTCTAAGTCATTGACATATTCCACAAATGAGTCCAATACAGAGTTTTGTCTATTATTACTCTTTATTTCCCTGTCACTGAGCCAAATCAGGATCCAACTTGTCCTTTTCCTTGGATCCAGCAGGTTATTCCTTCCTTGGCCAGTCTGCATCTGGGGCCTTGTGTAAGCCACAACAAATGCATTATCCTCATCAATCTTTCTTGTTCACTCCTTGAAACATTCAATCCATCAATCAAACATTGTCTTCCCTTACAAATCCATGCTAAGTGTTTTTGATGGATTCATACCTTTCTAAATGATGATTTCTACTCTCACTCAGTACTGTTTCCAATGTGCCCACCACCAAGGTTAGGAAGACTGGTCTGTAGTCACTTAGTCTATATCTTCCTCCCACTTAAACAATTTTACATGAGCAACAATCTTCCAAAACCTCCAGCACAAATCCATAGCCAGGGAGGTACAAGAGACCTCCATGATTTCTATAGATAACACAGTGTGGAGCAGGCCAGGCAGCATCATAGAAGCAGGAAAGTTGACAAATCTAGTGGAGTAGCTAAGTGCAGAAGTGAAACTTGAATGGAAATTAGAAAAACAAAACCAAGGTTGGCAAATTTTAATGAGGTAAAATCAAGGAAAATGTAATAATGCTTCATAAGTATGACAACTTGTGTGTGAAGGTTCTTCAGAAAATGATTTCTATAATTTCTTCATGATTTCTATGTGGCTTCTCTTAGCAGACTGGAATACATTACATGTGAGCCTATTGATTTATCCAATTTCAAGAATGATGAACCCTTGATTAATATTTCCTCCCATGACTTTCTACATTCAATATTTTACACTTCTCCTTAACCAAAATATCTATATTGATCCGATGCTTTGCAAAAAACAAACACAAATTTTCATTAAATATTCATTAAATAGTGTCAACATCTTCCTCCTTCACACACAAGTTGTCATACTTATGAAGCATTATTACATTTTCCTTGATTTTACCTCATTAAAATTTGCCAACCTTGGTTTTGTTTTTCTAATTTCCATTCAAGTTTCACTTCTGCACTTAGCTACTCCACTAGATTTTCTGCAGTGCTGAGTTCCTGGTATAAGCTTCCCTTATACAAAAAGTCCTTAAACGTTGGCCAAATACCATTCAACTTCTCCTCCACTGCCATTGTGAAAGTACATTAAGTGCAAAATGGACTTCCTGTGCTTTTATTCAAATGAATTTGGACTTATTTATAACAAATTGTGGTTTGTGAATGTATTCATGAGAATGCTTGTTATTCAATAATTTGTTAAATAACAGTGTAATTTGTGAATATATGCATAGATTTGTAAAATGATTTTTTAGTCGTTTGGACAGTTATTCATGGGAGTTTGCAGAATTATATATTAATTGTCATTTTGGTACAATACTCTACATATGCTGATATTTTTGGATATTGCTACCTTGTCCTATCCAAACAGTCATGTCCTTTCCCCCAAAAAATGTTGCTCCTTAAAGTTAGTGTTAGAACTTCACATTATGAGTTCTTTAAATTTTACTGCACTTTGCTGCAGGGCTAAATTACTTTTATTTGGAAAATCAAGCTGGCAAAAATGTTTAAAGAATTTCTTGAATGCAATTATTGTGTTTTTATATGTAATTACTTGGTATCCTGTGGTGTTCTTGATTGTTCAAAACAAAATAGTTCCTTGACATATTTATCTTTCTGCTTCTCTTTCACAAATTCTTTCTGTTATTTGCTCTTAATCTTCTGATCAACCACTCTGCTTCTTTCTCCCTTTACTTGCCGGCCCAACCTTGTCCCCATACTTCAACAGCTCAATTTCATACCCAAACTACATCAACCATCTCTGCCAACCTCCCATCCACATTTCCCCAAACCCAGGTTCCATGGTTTGACATGAATGGCTTGAGCTTAAGATAGGTTGCAGAAGATGGTTTCAACTTGGCAGGGAATTCCATCAATTCAGAACCCTTTAGGTAAAGAATTTCCTTCTCAATTCAATTCTAAATCTGGTCCCCCTAATTTTGAGGCTAAGCCCTCTTGTTCTAGTTTCACCCACAGTGGAAACAACCTCCCTGCTTCTATCTTATCTATTTCCTTCATAATTTTATATGTTTCTATAAGATCCCCATTCATTCTTCTAAATTCCAATGAATATAATCCCAGTCTATTCAGCCTCTCCTCATAAGCCAACCCTCCCATCTCTGGAATCAACCTAGTGAATCTCCTCTGCACTCCCTCCAGTGCCAATACATCTTTTCTCAAGTAAGGAGACCAAAACAGCACGCAGTACTCCAGGTGTGGCCTCAGTAGCACCCTGTACAGTCGCAACATAACCTCCCCGATTTTAAACTCAATCCTTCTAGCAATGAAGGACAAAATTCCATTTGCCTTCTTAACTATCTGTTGTACCTGCAAACCAACCTTCTGTGAATCATGCACAAGGACACCCAGGTCCCTCTGCACAGTAGCATGCTGCAATCTTTTACCATTCAAATAGTAGTCCTTTATACTGTTATTCCTACCAAAATGGATGACTTCACATTTATCAACATTGAGTTCCATCTGCCAGACCTTCACCCACTCACTTAAACTATCTACATCCCTCTGCAAACTTTCAGAGTCCTCTGCACACTTTGCTCCACCACTCATCTTAGTGTCATCCATAAACTGTACACGCTACACATAGTCCCTAACTCCAAATCCTCCATGTAAATTGTAAACAATTGTGGTCCCAACACGGATCCTTGAGGCACAACAGTGGTCACTGATTGCCAATCAGAAAAGTACTCATTTATCCCCACTCTTTGCTTCCTGTTCATTAACTATTCTTCTATCCATGCTACTACATTGCCTGTAATACTATGCACCTTTAATCTTATGCAGCAGCCTTTTGTGCAGCACCTCATCGAATGCCTTTTGGAAATCCAGGTACTCCACATCTACTGGGTCCCTGTTGTCCACCGCGCTCATAATGTCTTCATAGAATTCCAGAAAATTAGTCAAGCGTGACCTGCCTTTCATGAACCCATGCTGCATCTGCCCAAAGGGACAATTTCTATCTAGATGTCTTGCTATTTCTTCCTTGATGATCGATTCAAGCATTTTCCCCACTACAGAAGTTAAGCTAACCGGCCTATAATGCTCCATCTTTTGTCTATTCCCTTTTTGGACAATGGTGTCACATTGGCTATTTTCCAATCTGCTGGAACTGCCCCAGAGTCCAGCGAATTTTGGAAAATTACCACGAGTGCATTTGCAATACTCCCGCCATCTCTTTTAGTACCCTGGATGTGTTCCATCAGGGCCAGGAGATTTGTCTACTTTTAGCTCCATTAGCTTACCCAACACTACCTCTTTTGTGATAATGATCATGTCTAGTCCTCACCTACCTTAGTCTCCTTGTCATCAATTACTAGCATGTTATTTGTGTTCTCCATTGTGAAGACCGACACAAAATACCTGTTCAATGCCTCAGCTATTTCCTCATTTCCCATTATTAAATCCCCCTTCTCATCCTCTAATCGAACAATGTTTTCATTAGCCACTCTTTGTCTTTTTATATATTTATAGAAACTTTTGCTATCTATCTTTACATTCTGAACTAGTTTAGTCTTGTAATCTTAGTTTTCTTTATACCCTTTTTTTGTGGCTTTCTGTTGACCTTTGTGAAGTTTTCCCAGTCTTCTAGTTTCCCACTGGTCTTTGCCAATTTGTATGCCTTATCTTTCAATTTGATAGCCTCCCTTATTTCCTTAGATATCCATGGCTGATTACCCCTTTTCATACAGTCCTTCCTTTTCACTGGTAAATATTTTTGCTGAGCACTTTGAAAAATTGCTTGTAAAGTCCTACACTGTTCCTCAACCATCCAACCATACAGTCTTTGCTTACAGTCTACTTTAGCCAACTCCTCCTCATCCTATTGTAGTCTTCTTTGTTTAAGCATTGGACCCTGGTAATATTAATATTGTAGACGTACCTAATATTTGAGTAAGTATCCTATTGTTATGTTTGGATTGTTGTCACAACATTGATCTGAAAACATCATTACTACAGTGTCAATGATGGAACACCGGCATTTTCCAGGGCCTGTCAGGGTTCTCAGTGGGATATTTGCTCAATGTTACCTCAAGCATATTTAATTTTGGATAGCAAGTTAGCAAGGTCTGTCAAGAATTTTCTGGCTGCTATGGACAATATATTACACATTTGTGTTTTTGGATTTGTCAGAAGTTTGATTCTTATATAATAAAAGACTAACACAATAATTTTGAACCAGATTGACATGTAGGCTACTTCAATCCCAGCATTTTCGAAATATTAACACCATGTTGAATGTCGAGAGGGGAATGTATTTCCACACTTATGTAGACAAGTTACACACATCCAAAATGTTACATGTTTTAAATAATAGGCAATTTTGCAGGTATCCAAATAACTGAGTCAATATCATATAAATGTTCCCAACAGAAAAAAAACTGCATGAAATTCAACAGATGTTTCCTTACCTCTACACAACTGACTTTCTTTCTACCTGCTAGTCTACATATAGTTACAAATATCAAATCTATTGGCTTTTGTGTAATTAAGATATTGTTAACACTTTGTAGTTTCACTGTGGTCTCCTTTGGCTTGGGCAATGGTACAAATCTCTCCCCGGAAAGAAGAGATTTATACACCTTATTAAATACAATGAAGAATTCCATAGTATGATCAAAGCAAACTATCGTCCCTTCATGAACAGCAAATAAATTCCATTGTTGCGTGACTTTGAAATTTAACAAAAAATGGTAAAATAGTGTGGGAAGTCCGTTCTCAATCCTGTCACCCCTAATTTGTCAGTTTAACTACAGACGCCTTCTGTTGTGGTTTACCATACATTCCGATGATGTAGCTGCCCTAACCTGAGAGTCTTGTTAAAATATTTAAAAGCTCTTTGCATTCAGCAGAGAATCAGCCTCATTACAACAAATCACCGATCTTGAAACCCTTTTCCCAGCCTCAGTCTTTCCCCGAGCAGAAAAGTTTGGATCGGTTTTCGTTCAAGATGCCCGGGATTTGGATGTTCCATTATCTGATACTTTGTGTGTTGACGCGAACCGCTCTCGGGCTGCTGCTGGGAGCGGATTTGAGTAAGTTGGAAATTTAGCATCAACTTAATGCCCCAAGAGTGAATTGTTGAAAAGGCGACTTTAATCGCTAAATACAGTAGCTTGATTTTTTTTTAAGAAGTTAATTGAAACATGAACTTTTATTTAACCAAAACCCTAACATCTGCAATGTATTAGATCTCGGGAACTAGTTGTGAGAAAGGTTTGCAGGTGTTTGAATTCTGCTAAGGTTTGCTGCTAGCTTTTTTTTAAAAAAAGACGAATCTTTGGAGGAGCGGACGAAGATTGGAAAACATTGGTAAATTTTCCTTTCAACAACAAAGTATCAATAGGGTTCCATTTATACAGCACATAGTGCCACCTTTTTAGAATTCAACCTTTTAAAAGAACTCTGCAATTTAAAAGAATGTGAAAATTTGAGGAGTTGGGCAAAAGCCATTCTATGCCCTGTGTTACCGTCTCGCTGCACACACATCTGATGTTGCCTCTCCCTCAGCCTGACCAGGTGAGTCTGAACCAGTCAAGAGGGCATTTACATGTTTTACTTAACCAACCAATATGCAAAGGTGTGAGGGTGGGGGGAGGGAGCAAAATGACATCGAGTCGTTTGAAGGTACAGACACGATGGGCCGAATGGTCTCCTTCTGCGCTGTAACTCTTCTGCGATTCTGTCAAATGTCTATCACAAAATACATACATTCTTCTCAAGAGGGTTTAATTTGGCATTCATTTATTTACACTTCCAGTCTATGGCTCTCCATTCCTGGTGTAATTTAAATCTTCAACTGAATATACCCCCAATAAGATATTCCCCTCACTGCTGCCTTCTTCCTGGACTTCAGAGCTGGAAATAATGCAATCCTTTTAGATTTCACTTCCCATGTGCTAAGCAAGTCCAGTTGCTGTCCTTTCTCTGAAGTCTATGTCTTTTTTTCTTGAATTTCTGTAATTTAACACAGTAGAGTGTGGGTGGGCCAATGCATTGTACAGCTTCCTGAAAAGTATTCTGTCCAAATAAACATTAGCATTCTGAGTGTTTCACTGAATGCTGGAAGTAGAAACCATCTTAATGTAACAAGAGGTGTGCACGTCTGCATCACTGCTCTAATGCTAGGTTTTGACACTACTATTATATCAATTCTTTAACATCTGTGAAAGAAGCTAAGTTCATAAATGAGGAGGTGAGGACAAGCGTGGACAAGTTAGGGAAGGAAACGGTTTGCATCTGCTGTTAAAGAATTTTAAAGAGATTTGGAAATACACTTAGCCACTTATTTGTGACTGAAGTGACAATACCAGAATTTTAAAAAGTAGAAAATAATAATTCCAGATCTGATTGTGGTCCTGTCAGAGAACTATTTTCCTAACTCTTGATTCACAACCATGTTTAACGAAGAAATGGTGTACAGTATGAAGCAAGTTTCAATACTTTTAAAAAAGAAATTGCCTCTTGGCTCTCAGCAGGATCTTTGAGGCTATTATCCAAAGTTTCCACATGAAGGGAAAGGGAATTTGGTTTTAGCTTTTGAAACTTATTTTATTCCGGTGTCCATTCTTTCCATGTAGGATTTATAATGTTGTAAAATTACTCCAGAATCGTTGCATTTTAAATATTGTCTTTACTGAAAATGTCTACAGGGTTGCAAGGAGAAAGACATCTAACTAAGAAAGATTGGAGAGTGTGACTGTCAGAAACGACAATGTGGAGTTTAGCAGGAAAAGAAAGGGTCCCAACACTGACCCCTGGGAAACTCCACTACAAACTTTGTTCCAGCCTAAAGAAACACCCATTAACCATTACTCATACTGTCCTTTTAATTCCATGAGATTTAACTTTGCTCATAAGTCTGTTGTGCGGCACTGTGTCAAAACACCTTTAGAAGTCCATGCACATAGCATCATCACCATTGTCCTGATCAACCCTCATCATGTTACCTCATCAAAAACTCTAGTAAGTTAGTCAAACATAACCTGCCTTTAAGAAATCCATGCTGGCTCTCCTAAAACTGCATTTTTCCATGTGACCATTGATTTTGTCCCAAATTATTGAGATTGATGAAGGTCATGGATGTCTCAATAGGGAATAAAAGACCACTATCTGAGCCAGGGAGAATATTGTTTGACACAATTATATTAGTCTTTCTTCAAATATTGATGCACTTATGCTAAGATATTAATAATGGCTATCTTAGATTTGCCAGTTAATACTTTTAACTTTCCTTGATTGCATTGGCTCCAGTAGCATCTTAATATGTAGTCATAACACAGTAAATTACACTGTCTCCTGTCCAGTCTGGAAATCTACTGTTTCCAAACATTAGATGTCTGGAATGTTTTGAACACCCCCAAGTAACTAGGGATGATGTAAGATATTTATATAAATTAAATATTATTACTGCTTTGATAAAACATTGTATACTTTTGTGCTTCAGTTAAATATTGATATCTGTGCTTTCTGATTCATATACTTATGGTTGGGCACTCGAACATCATTCTATTATCCAGAGAATTTTGGGACCAAGTCATTTCCAGATCCCAAGTGTACCGTTTGGAGAGGTACAAGTGCAACAAAACTTATCCTGAATGCAACGCCATTAGAGAATGATTTGCAATTCAGTTACACAATGTACTGTGATCCTGAATAAAATACAAAGCTGATACAATGTTACAATTTGGCTTGATTTTGAATTTAAATGCACCCTTGTTTTCTCTCTAGCCCAGTGCTCACCAAGCCTGGTAGGAAATCAATGGCAGGAGCCACCATCTCTGGGTTGCAAACTTTGCCACTGTTTACAATTGGGCAAAGATCTCTTCCAGGAATGTGAAACGTGAGTAAATCATCACTTAGACCCTAATCAGTCAGTGCCCATGAACAAATCAAAACTAATCTATTCAGATTTCTACTATGGGTAAATATTGACCTGAGCCCAACTCCTAATATCATTTAAAGGTCCTCTAAAGGTCACCATTTAACTCTGTTCCCCCCCCACCAAACCATTACCACACCCTTTCTGCTCCTGTGATGCTACTTGGCCTGCTGTGTTCATCCAGCTCTGCACCTTGGTGTCTCTCATTACCCAGACCACCTGTATGCGCTCAAATATCCTCCATAGCCACCCACTCATTATCAACTATGTACAGTTCTTACCAACAGCAATAGGAATTATTTAATATCGCTGGAAACCATTAAACCTCTAACAACCCAAGAAAACCTTGAATTCAAACTCATCATCATCGACATAGACCCAAAATGCCCCATTTAAGTGCCTTAGCTTTGTAAACAAAAACTATATCAAAGACATAATCTGTTGTTATAGGCGCATAAGTTTCAATAGTTCTTGGAGAATATCTTCTAAGTAAAGTTTTTGAAGCCCAGTCAAACATTCATTATGGGACAGCTGTCACAAAAGTCTCAGGCTTCACTGATAGAACAGATATTTATTGTGATTCTGAAGGAAAGCATCTGTCCATCAATGAAACGGAAGCAAGTCCATGGTATAGGGTCATAGTCATAAAGTCATAGAATCATACAGCACGGAAACAGATCCTTTAGTCCAACCAATCCATGCTGACCATAATCCCAAACTGAACTGGTCTCCCTGCCTGGGCTTGCCAATATCTCTCCAAACATTTCTTATTCATGTACTTATCTAAATGTCTTTTAAACATTGTAACTATACCTGCATCCACCACTTCCTCTGGAAGTTCACAAACCACTATATAAAAAAGTTGCCTCTCATGTCTTTTTAAAATCTTTCTTCCTTCACCTTAAAAATATGTTCCCTAGGCTTGAAATCACTCACCCTAGGGAAGACACCTTACTTTCACTTTATCTATACTCCTCATTATTTTATTAACATACATAAGTTCACCTCTCAACATCCTACGCTCCAGTGAAAAAAGTCTCATCCTATCCAGTCCCTCCTTATAACTCAAACTCTCCATTCCCAGCAACATCCTGGTAAATCTCTTTTGAACCCTCTCCAGCTTAATAGTATCCTTCATATAACAGGGAGAACAGAACAGGACACAGCACTCCAGAAGAGGCCTCACTGACATCAAGTACAACCTCAACATAACATCCCAACCCTATGCTCAAAGGTCTGAGCAATAAAGGCAAGCGCGCTAAATGACATTTTTTCTACTTCAGAAACAGAGGAAAATTCTGGCCTATGTATTCACAATTCCATGATCCATAAACTTAGTCATCCAAAAAAGAATGCTGTTATTTCTTAACATGCACCAAGCCCTGTTCACTTATCTACCCTGATTGCTGGCCTATATTACCTTGCAGTTGCAGTCAGGCAACGTATCGATTTAAAAATTCTCATCCTTCTTTTCAAATCTCTCCTTGTCCTCACCAATTCCACTGACACACTCTCTCAACTCTAATCTCCTCAAGCACTACAGCCCTCTGGGACAATTGCATACCAGCCTCTTTTTCATTCCCAATTTTATTCCATTATCAGTGGCCATTTTCATTTGTCTAGGATGTCAATTCTGGAATATCTTTGGACTATACACACCCTTCCATCTCTCTACCTCACTTTATTCCTTTAACATGCTCCATTATACTTACCTTTTCACCAAACCTGAAAATTTCTCACGTAGTTGTAAAATTCTGTTGTATAATGTAGGCTTGAAGCTCCTTGGGACATTTTATTACATTAAGCATGATGAATTTCACAAAGTGATTTGACAATTGGTCTATGTATATACTTTAATTATATATTAATGTGATTAATGCTATTTAAATAGTTCAAAGCTGGCACATGTAATTAGGAAATAATGTTGAGGCAGATTGTGGAATAAGCCTAACATACTTATACAGTTAAATTTGAAAAGCTATAAATATTGGAGATGCGAGGTTCAGAAAATGCACAGCTGACCAAAAGGTATAGATAAATTACCGTATGAGGATGCTCAATGGTACAGAACTTAGCTAACAACCAACTCAAGATATTCACTCATCTCATGGATGTCAATTGACCTTCTGTGCACTTTCTCTTTTCTCACCTGCAATTTACAATAGGAATGCACCATACACTCACCACCATATCCCAAAACAAACGAATCCAATTGAAAGCTGATATTAGCACATCTGCAATTTCAAAAATGCTACATTTTCCTTACAGAATGCTCCAACTCCTCCACAAGATTTTCATTTTCTTCACAGACTTTCAAATGTGATGTGTTTTTAATGGTTTTCCAGAGCACCAGATTAAAATAGTGGGCCGGAAGAAATCTGATTTTCCTTCCCCATTTAGAATAGGAAACCTGACCTTCATAGAAGTGGATGGGTGTTTTACATATCAGGTATTATTGAACTGCAAAAGGGCCAGTGGGTTCTGGGTTCAATGCCCTCCTGTGCTCCATAAATCCATGCTTATCTTCATTTCTGCACGTTGTGGTTTAAGTACAAGTTCATGTATTTTCCCTTCTCTTGTCATTGCAAATGTTTGCACTAACGGACTATGGGATCGGATCACCAAATAGTTCGATAGCTCAATTTTGCAATGATATTGTTATCTGCCTTTGATGTTTTCCAAAAAATCAACATTCTACTAAAAAAGTACCCTAAATCTCCCTTTGAAAATTGTCATTATTGAACTACATTAAGTTTGAAACTAGTCATCTTGCTTAATACCTTGATCAAGATAATGATAAATCAGTACTCTCTGAACAGATAAGTTTTTGTAAGTTTTAAGTAATTCTCAAATTTAAAGGTCTGGTTTTAGACTTTTGAGAGCTTTAAATGCCATTTAAATGAAATTTTAAAACATTAATTCTCAAGGATTTGAACATTTAATTTGCAATTTCCTCCTGAACTAGTATACAAATCTGTTATTCACAACAGACCGATGAGGCCTTCAGCTTGGCCAATTGGATGTGAAAGGGTTCGTGTTGACTGCAACTACACAATAGTAAGAACAAATAGACCTGATGTTCATTGCTCAGGATGGTCATACACTAGCTACAAATACCTCATCCGAGTGACTGGATTTGTTTGGGATGCAGAAACTGGAGCGATTGGCACACCGGAATTAAAACAAACTGATTTCACACAACAGTCGCCCTCAGACATCAAACAACAGAAACAGATCCGAAACACAGGAAGCCCAGCTCAACTGAACAGCATTAAAAAACAAAAAAGACGACTGAAAGCCAAATTAAGTACTAAAAAAAAGCGAAAACAATCATAGATGTTTTATTAAGCAAGCATTATGAATTTTACATAGTAGTTTGACAAGCGGTCTAGGTATATACTTCATACTAATTATATATTAAAATAATTAATACTATTTAAGCAGTTCAAACTGGCACATGTAATTAAGAAATGATGTTGAGGCAGATTTTGGAATAAGCCTAGCATACGTATACGGTTAAATTTGAAAGCTATAAATATTGAGATGTGAGGTTCAGAAAATGCACAGCTGACCAAGAAATACACGTAAATTACCAGATGAGGATGCCCAATGGTACAGGAACTTAGTTACAGCCAAAGCAAGATATTCACCCATCTCGTGGATGTCAACTGGCCTGCTGTGCTTTTCTCTTTTCACACCTGCACTTTACAATAGGAATACCATGTTCCTAGACTACACAGGATGTGCAATTTCACTTGCAGTCCTTCCAAAGAACATTGCTGTAGGTTGTTTTGATTCACATTACTACCACCACTTTTTTGATAGCTTGAATTGTGTATCCATTTATGACTAGAAGAATTACTATTGGCAAAGACACATTCTGCTTTATTTTCTTTAATACTGAATGATACCAATTAAGAATATTGACTCTCCTGTGCAAATTATTAACATTGGCCGACTGCATGAGGACCTAGACTTGACCAAACCAGTACTTATTTGCTTGTAAAGGTAACTACAAACAGAAAAATACTTCCTACTTTCAAAAAAACTTCAATAAACCTCTGCTGAAACTCTTGACATAAAATATATTTTAAAATCTATATGTTTATATATATGTGGAATTAAGTTTGGAGCACCAATTTTGTTTCAGTTTGGTGGGCTCAGGTAACGAATTACCTACAATGCTGCAGGAGGGATATTTCGAGAAGACTGTTGACTGTACCATGGACATAATTTGTAACCTCCACAGAAAGGAAGGTACTGTCATCACTATATTACTAACGTAATGACATGTAGTCATATAGTCACAATTCTATGTCTGTTCATGATTGAACTTAAATGACATATGTTCTTCAATAAAAATGTTCAGAATTGTGAGAGACCAAAAGTTGCCATTGAAACATCTCTAAAAAGTATTGTCATAAAATATTAATTGCAATTTGATGGCAGATTTTGTTCCTAATTTCTCAAAGCTACTTTTATTCCAGTGAGTTTATTTCCAGGATCCACCAGTAGAAACTTGTAAATGGCTAATGGCCCAATCATTATACTTGTCAATATTTTCCCAATGCATTTAATTTGGAACTTCATTATTGCACATCTTTAAAAAAAACTATCAGTTACATCCCTTCATACTGGAGTTGCGTGAAAGAAAAATAAAAGCAAAAGACATACTTTACCTGAGATATCAGCAAAGTATGAACACAGACAATGTCAAAGGCATTACAATATCATTTATATATCTTAATTGTACAGTTAGTGTTTATGTAACAGCAGTGTTTGAGATTTAGTACAATGAATGTTCTGTTCTCTGTAAATGTCCCACTTTTTATTTTGAATAGATTTGTTCATGGGATGTGGGCATTAAAGCCGAGGCCTATTGCCCACTCCTAATTTCCTTCAAGGTGGAGATGAGCTGTATTCACAAACCACTGCAGTCCAAATGTTGTCAGTACACCTAAAGGTTGCTATTAGGGAATTCCAGAATGTTGATGCAGTGTTAGTGATGAAAGGCAAATTAATCCCAAGTCAGAATGGTATGCAACTTGGACAGGGACTTGAAGATGGTGGAAAAGTACATAACAATGTGTACCCGAGTACTGTGCTCTGGTCACAAATGAAGGCTATTTGTAGGATGAAGAAGAAAACTATAAATAATAGGTTAGTAGGTGTATAAACAGAATTGTTTTCTTATGAAAGCCCACCCAGCCACATACTCAAAGTAAGGTGGGGACAGGGATGGTTGGTAGGGTAAGAAATAGGGACAGGCAGGTTCACAAAGGAAGTAATTTAGTCCAAAAAAAATGTACTAATGTAACAGCACTTTATTCTGGACAAGTGTGCGCGGACAAGGTCAAATATTTGTAAGGAAATTGTAGGAGTAAATAATTGTCACATAATTTTAGGTGTTTATTATGAAATCCAAACTATAGCAACCAGTTACAGTTAAAAATTTTCAATCTAACAATGATAACACAGTGTGGAGCTGGAGGAACACAGCAGGGCAGGCAGCATCAGGGAGCAGGAAAGTTGACGTTTTGGCTCAGGACCCTTCTTCAGAAATGGGTGGGGGGCAGGGGAGGGTAGAAGGGAGCTGAGAAATAAATAAGGAGGGGAGGGTAGGTGGGATGGCGATAGGTGAGTGCAAGTAGGGAGTGGTGGGGATTGGTCAGTGAGATGGGAGGAGCAGATAGGTGGGAGAGAAGATGGACAAGTTCTGTCAGGTCACGGAGGTGGGAATGAGAGGGAGGGTTGGTCATGGTATGAGGCTGGGGGTGGGAAGATTTTGCAAACAATCTAGTTCACTCTCCTTGACCAAGGAGCTGAATGGTTTGGCACAGAAATGGCACAAATTCGTTTGTATTACTGCAAAATTTTGTAAAGGGAAAGGCTTCAGTCTTGGAGATAGTTGGAACTGCCACTGCTGGAGTCTGAGAACAACAAGGTGTGGAGCTGGATGAACACAGCAGGCCAGGCAGCATCAGAAGAGGCATCCTTAGAAGAGGCTTCACAGTGGGGTTAAAACTCACTCAGAGATAGTAGGTCAGCCTTGATGTTTAACTGAACAAAGATGTGCTTCAGCTAAGACTGGATTTCTGATGAGGGGCTGTAGAAGTCATGTGTATGTAGAAGTGAGATAACAAGGTGTAGAGCTGGATGAACACAGCAGGCCAAGCAGCATCATAGGAGCAGGTTTGCTTGGCCTGCTGTGTTCATCCAGCTCTACACCTTGTTGTCTCAGATTTTCCAGCATCTGCAGGTCCTACTATCTCTGGATGTAGAAGTGAATTTTTGAATAGGCTGTCAAAATCAGAATATTTTCCTGACTCATGTATATCTATCTTTGAACTGCAGATGGTCTAGCAATTCTATTTTAAAAACGTTCCCTCACATGAAAGTTACACAAGTTAAAATTGCATAATTATATCAACCAGATACAGGTGGATTCAACTGTGCCACTTAGATTTACAAGCTTCCCCATGATTGGAAGGATTTTAAGTCAGCCAACCAAGCTGCAATCATTAATGTTGGTGAATGTAGAGGTAGCATCTTTACAGGTTCAGAGATAACACAGTGTGGAGCTGGAGGAACACAGCAGGCCAGGCAGCATCAGAGGAGCAGGAAAGCTGACATTTCGGGTTCATTTCTGAAGAAGGGTCCCAACACAAAATGTCAGCTTTCCTGCTCCTCTGACGCTGCCTGGCCTGATGTGTCCCTCCAGCTCCACACTGTTATCTCAGACTCCAGCGTCTGCAGTTCTTGCTATCTCTTTACAGGCTCAGCACTGTTTCAGAAAGCAACTTTGCTCTTCCCAGAGGAAGATGAATTAACTAGTTCATTTAGACAACTTTGCTAATCGTTGGCATGTAAGATTTAACGGATTTAAGAAATTAGTTAACTACTATCTTTCAATTGTTATCTGAGGAATGTTATCCTAAATTAATCTAAATGTATATGTGGTGCAGTGGTAATGACCCAGCCTCTAAGCCAGAGGTTCCTGGTTCAAGTCCCACCTGTTACAGAGTGTATCATAACACTACTGAACAGGTTGATTAAAAATATCCATAGCAAATATGGAGGTTGAACTACAGATATGACTAACCTGCCTTTTTAACCACCTACGTGTCACCTAACCCCATTTTAGCATTAAATACTGAAAACTAAGATTGAAAAACAATCTTATCTAATTGCTGGTTTGAGATTCTGTGCCATAACTTTTTTGGTATATTGCATGCAAGAATCAATTCACGCAGTAGCTAGTGCAGATCTCGAGGGATTGGAAATGTAGAATCTATATGCGGTAGGGATGCCAGTGTTGGACTGGGGTGGACAAGTCACATGACACCAGATAATAGTCCAACAGGTTTGAAATCACAAGCTTTCGGAGTGCTGCTCTTTCATCAAGTGAAATAAGGAGAAGCACACGGGCACAGAATTTATAAGCATAGAGATCCCATGGACAGTCAAACCAGGACATTCCTTGTCACGAAGGATGTTTTGGCATTCTACACCAGCATCCCCCACAATGACAATATCGCTCCAACAGCCTCAGTAGTCAACACCAACTGATAATTTTCAGATGCCATCCTACAACTTATCCGCTTCATCCTTGACCACATCTTCACCTTCAACAACCAGACACATGGAACAGCCATGCGGACCAAATCTGCAGCCCAATATGCCAACATTTTCAGGCACAAGTTCAAGCAAGACTTCTCTGCTGCACAGGACCTCTGACCAACACTATATACTAGGTACATTGATATTTTTCTTTTAGACTTATGGCGAGGAATCACTGAAACGACTATACAATGATATCAAGTTTCATCCCACCATCAGACTTACCATTGACTACTCTTCACAATCAATCCATTCTTAGACACATGCATCTTAATCAGGGATGGACATCTCAATACCCCACTCTACTGCAAGCCCATGGATAGCTTCACAATGCTACACTTCTCTAGCCTCCACCTTAAAGAAGATTAAAAAAAAAGCCATCCCTACGAACAAACCCTGCACAGACACAGAATCTGCTCAGACAAAGAGGAACGTGACGAACACGACGAACACCTGAAGATGCTGAAAGACGCCCTCATAAGAACAGGATATGATGCTCAACTCATCGATCACCAGTTCCGCCATGCCACAGCAAAAATCTGTAACAGCAGCCTCAGAAGACAGACACAGGACACGACTGATAGAGTACCCTTCATCGTCCAGTACTTCCCTGGAGTGGAGAAACTATGCCATGTTTTCCACAGCCTTCAACATGTCATCGATGACAACAAATACCTTGCCAAGATCATCCCTACACTTCCACTTCTCGCCTTCAAACTACCAAACATTAAACAAACCATTGTTTGCAGCAAACTATGCAGCCTCCAGGACAACATCGACCACAACACCACACAATCCATTGCAACGTCTGCAAGACAGAGATAGTAAGAACTGCTGATGCTGGAGTCAGAGATAACACAGTGTGGAGCTGGAGGAACACAGCAGGCCAGGCAGCATCAGAGGAGCAGAAAAGCTGACATTTTGGGTTGGGACCCTTCTTCAGAAATAGGGGATGCCAGATCATCATGGATATTAGCACTTATGGGAACACCACCAACCACGTACACAGCGGATACTCATGTGACTCAGTCAACGTTATCCACCTTGTACGCTGCAGGCAAGGATGCCTCAAGGCATGGTATCTTGGTGAGACCATGCAGATGCTACTACAATGAATGAACGAGCACTGCACAACAACTGCCATACAGGAATGTTTCCTCCCAGTCGCAGAACACTCCAGCAATCAAGGACATTCAGCTTCCAATTTTTGGGTAAGTATCCTCCAAGGCAGTCTTCGAGATACACAACAGCACAGAATCGCTGAGCAGAAACCGATAGCCAAGTTCCGTACCTATGAAGGCAGCTCAATTGTGATCTTTAGTCCATGTCGCACTACATGTAAACCCACCATACCGCTCGGTATCTGTAAATTCCTTTTTACGGTCCAGTATCACCTTGGCAACTCTAATCAGTTTGTACAGTTTTGAATTACTTGTTACTTTGGTTAGACCCTCGGCATGTGGCTCTTATACCTGTCATGTTATTCCAGCCAATTGGTTTATCCCAGCATCCCTTAATTTTAATTTCTTGTGATTATCTCTCTGCTTCAATTAATCGGATTATAGGTCATCCCTTCACTTGCTTTTCAGCTGTTGACATTGCACTCACACTGTGACACTTGATCACCTGCAGAGACTTATTATTCAGCCTGTCAACACACTACATGCATGATCTTTTGATCTCTATGACTATAAATTGTGTCTGTGTGCTTCCCTATTTCACTTGACGAAGAAGCAGTGCTCCGAAAGCTTGCGATTTCAAATAAACTTGGACTATAACCTGGTGTCACATGACTTCTGAAAAATCTGTATGACAGCTCTAAGCAAGCCAAATTTTAACGTCTACTCAGACATCAATTGATGGTATACGACCATAGGTCCCAAACGAGGAGTTAAGGGGGAAAAGAGGTGAAGACTTGGCCTAAGCCAATCCAACACCAACTTATAAAAAAATGCAAAGAACACTACGGATGCTACAGAATAGGACAAATACAAAGACCAACAAAGGGCCACAAAGCAGTTTAGAAGAGTGGCCAAAAAGCATTATGAAAGGAAGCTTGCAAGGGACATAAGAGAAAAGAAGAAATATTATAAGGGTCACTGGACCCAAAACGTTAATTGATTTTTTTTTCCTTCACATATGCTGCCAGACCTGCTGAGCATTTCCAGCAACTTCTGTTTTTGTTGTTGGTGTTGTCGAAATATTATAGTTAAACAAAAGGGAAAACAGCGGTTGAAGAGCATTTTTGGCCCACTGAAGACAAGTGGGGATATTGTCAATGACCATGAGGAAAAGGCAGACATGCTGAGTAACTATGTTGCTTCAATTTTAAGAGCAGGAAAGGAGGAAGTTTGTGGTTAGTTGGCTCGTCGAGCTGGTTCATTGTACCAGAGACGTTTCATTACCCTGCTGGGTAACATCATCAGTACAGCCTCCGTTGAAGCTCTGTTGCGTTTTCCCACCTGTAATTTAAACTCTGGAGTCCATTGAGCTAGATTACCTCACGTCCGGTTTTCCTTCGCAATGGACTGTATACAGGGTCTAGCTCTATGTATTTATTGATGGCTTTCTTAATGGAGTACCAGGCTTCTAGGAATTCCTGTGCTTGTCTCTGCTTTGCCTGTCCCAGGATCACAGCAACACAGCAACCACCCTTACACACACAAACAAAGTTGCGTGAGAACATGATTTAAATGGGCAACAACATACTGCAGCAGCACAGAACTTCGCCAAAAAGAACAGCACCTCTTCCAAGTATTCAAAGACAACGGATACCTGAAAAACTGGGTCAGAAGATGCCTATCACAAGAACAACACCAGGAAGATACTACACACTCATCATGCTACCTTACATCGGGAACACATCTGAACTGACAAGACTCCTACGACCACTGGGCATCACAGCAGCAAACAAACCCACATCAACCGTATACCAATTGCTCACCCGGACTAAAGACCCACTACCCACTATGAACAGGACCAATGTCATATACAAGATTCCCTGCAAAGACTGCAACAAACGCTACATTAGACAAACAGGAAAGAAATTAACCACAAAGGTATACGAACATCAACTGGCAACAAAAAGACACGGCCAATACTCACTCATCTCCATCCACATGGATAAGGAAAACCACCAATTCAATTGGGACATCATCAGGATCCTGGGACAGGCAAAGCAGAGACAAGCACAGGAATTCTTAGAAGCCTGGTACTCCATTAAGAAAGCCATCAATAAACACAGAGCTAGGCCCTGTATACACTCCATTGTGCAGGAAAACCAGAAGTGAGGTAATCTAGCTCAATGGACACCAGAGTTTAAATTACAGGTGCAAAAACAAATAGAGCTTCAACGGAGGCTGCACTGATGATGTTACCCAGCAGGGTAATGAAACATCTGCAGAATAACGAACCAGCTCAGTGAGCCAACCAACCACAACCCGAGCTACAAATCTACTCTAAAACATTAAAGGAGGAAA